ATATCTAATAATATAAGATACCTTTAATTTATAGTAAATGTTCATTTTAAATGCAGGCCTATCACATAAATGAAATGATTGATTGATAACCTTTAATTTATGGTAAATATTAATCTTAAATACAGGTCTATCACATAAATAAAAGGATTGAATGATGAGTTTAAATACTGAAATTGAAAGGACAAAGAAAGGGGCAAACTTAGAAAAGAGATGCTGATGTAGTCCAAACTGAAACATTGTTCAGTAATTGGGTCATATCTAAAGCTGTAGCTCTTGGATTTAAGTCCATTTTATATTGATGAAAAGATAAGACAAAGGCCTACAACTTTCATGAGATTCCAAGATTTAAAAAAGTCATTTTCAAATTCAAATTAAGCAACAATAAAGAAATCTGAATCTGTACTGTAGCCCAAACATTATTCAGTGTTCAGCCCATATCTTGAGTTCTAGAAATCCAAATGACCTCATTTTTTTTTCCTGAAAAGCTGAGACAATTTTCTAGAACATTCATGAGTACAAGTGGCTCCCATTCTGATATTATCAATGATATTTTATTCAGACAAGAAGATAAGGATTGTCACTAAGTCAAGATGTGGTCACACACTCATCAATTATTTATCAAATCAATAGTTTCAAATTTTGGCCTATAAAAGGAGGCATTTATCATGTATTTAGGCATCTTAGTTTCCAAATCAAGATCATACTCTTGCTTTATTTCTCTCTTTGTATTTGTTATTAATATAAGTTATAATCATGAATACCTAACAAAATTTACAAGTATTAGCATTATTCAAATAAGATAACTAATGTAATCATGTTAATAATTTATAATTTGATTAGAACCTCTTCTGTGTGTGGTTTTCATTTGAGTAATAAGAGTTTATAGTATACTTGTTTGAAATACCATTAGTGGATCCTCTAACCTTGACATTTGTTGTTATCATTATTTAATCCTTACATTAATCTTCCATATCAAAGTTCTCATCAACTTCTTCTTTTTTCTTTTCTTCTTCTATTATTATTATTATTATTATTACTACTACTACGACTACTACTACTACTACGACTACTACTGTTGTTGTATTATTGTTTATAATTTATATAATTAACCTCCATGTGGTTCTACCTCGATCTTGTCAGGTTATTTATTATTTGAACACTCCTGCACTTGAGAGAAATTAATCTTTTAATCGTGTCAATTTGCATTTTTTTCTTCTTCTTTTGCTTTAATATTTTATTAGAGTTTACAACTCTTTATGCCATTTATTTGTTTTTATGTTTTTCAATTATCTTTTCAATTCTCAATTAAAATTAAAGTTTTTTTTAGAACACCAAAAAACAAGTCCACAATTTCCTTAGCATTTTAGTCATTTCCCAGCATAGTAGTCATTTCTTGCCACTGAAGGAGTTACAATTTTCTTAAAGTCACCACTCAATGATCTTAAATCGCACTTCACCAGCATGTTTTTTGATGAATATCAATCTGTCATCGGTTTTCCTAGGCTTAAAAAACAGACATCATTATAGGATTGGCAGCACTCCCCTCTCCCTAACCCAGTTCCGTGGATCGAGCAAAAGCCAAGGTTACTGAAAAATCAGATCCAAAAAAAGCCATTCAAGCAAAGAGCATGGCACAGCCCACCCAAATCAGGCTTGGTGCAACCTAAGAAATGAACATTCTTGTGGAAGAGCTTAGTTTATTTTATAGGCAAAGAAATTATTTGGAATATAATATGAACAAAAAGAAAGTAACAAAGGAAAAAATAAAATGATACAATGGCTACAATAATGATGATATATACAAAAAGTGCACGATTCCCTATTCCTACAACAATTGCTCTCACACCTTGCTATCACAAGGGGCAACTTCCCCGATAAAAATAGAAATGAACCCAAGTACTTGCAATGTTGCAAAAGTTGACATCAAGAGTTTATTTTTTCCACAAGTAAAAAAATAGTAATTCAAGCTGTTCGTCGCTCTGTGATGCCGAATCTTCAGAGCAGGGAAAATGAGGGTTACTTGTTCTTATAACCCCCGACCCCCCCACCCCACCAATGCTTCAAGTTCAATTCAGAAATTATAAGCATGCAGACTTCGAGCCTACAGAATCTGAATCCATGGTTGCTTCCTGTCGATCAGTGTCCACGACCATGTCATCCAACTGGAGTAGTATTGTCATATAAAGGTCCCGTTTGCTTCGTCATGGACAGAACTGTTTCCAATAGCAAACTTATCAAATCAGTGGGCGAAATTGACATGATGGTAAAGGAAAAGAACAAAGCCTCAAGATCAACAAGAATAATCTCAGATGCAGATTCATGTCCCAACGGGGCAATCAGTGGGCAAAATTGACATGATGGTAAAGGAAAAGAACAAAGCCTCAAGATCAACAAGAACAATCTCAGATGCAGATTCATGTCCCAACGAGGCATGGACAAATTAAAAGTTCTATCGAGAACATCCATGGTACAAGTTTCATGACAAATAACTTGTACAGTCTGTTGCCAGTCCAGTCAGGTCATGGCTCCAATTAGAAAGTGGAAGATCTCGGGTCAAAATCACATTATTGATTGTTTACATGGAAAAAGAAAAAAGAAAAAGGATGTCAGACATCCCAACAGCAAGCACTTAATGATCTCAGGTTGTTTGTCACCCAGAGACACCAATGTAACCCTCTGACAGTATTATTTCTCAAAAAAGGAGCTTTAACATATAAATGTCTGCCTTTTGAATCAACATCATTGTTCAGGGTTACGAGAAGAGCTATATGAAAATAAAGAAAACTTACTTATCTCTCATGATCAAAATGAACCAAAAATTTCTAAAATCGACGACCAATATAGGGAGATGCTGAACCCGAGAACGTTGGGAGAGGCCTCTTCACAAATGGATGGTCTAAGAGCATGGCAGCAGTAGGGCGATCATTTGGATTAACTTGTAGGCATTGCAGGATAAAGTCCCGCGCATCATTTGAGAGAGAATCAGGAACAAGTGGAGGAACACCTCTACCAATCCTAAATAATGCCTGCATCTGTTGAGTTACAGAAAGATAAGTTGTTAAAAGTAATTAAAAAAATGGCAGCGTGTAATGGTGCAATGGAATGAATCATAAAATTAAGCAGTTTATGCATAAACTAGCTAATGCAAGAACATAACTACCAAGAAGTGGAAGTCTCAAGTTATCTATAAATCTCTCAAGGAAAAATTGGCAACATAATATGATAGTGTATAAAGAAGTGCCACAAATAGTACTCACAGATTCCAATTCAGAATATGGAATCTGACCGGATGACATCTCCAAGACAGTTCATCCCAGACTCCATATATCAGCTGGAAGCCCATATCCTTGGTTTTTATTATTGACAACCTGCAGTACAAATATCAGAATCAGAATTTGGCAGCACAAGTCAAACATGCTAACATTAGTCCAGACTCCAAATTTACACAAAATGGTATTGTTTCAAAAAGCCATGAAACTAGAAATCAGATACAAACTAGAAATGGTTGGAAATCTCAGGGGTAAGGTAATTTTACAAACAAGAGGGATGATCAACATAAACAATGCAGATCTGAAGGACAATTCAATTTTGCCTTTCCCAATAATGTATACCTGAATAGTAACCTGGGAGTTAGAACTAAAACAACCCACACAACAAGATATGAAGAATCCACTGGCGCTGATTATTTCCTTCTATTGTTATCTCAACGAAGGGTTTTAATTTAAGACATTACATAAAGGGACAGCTTGACAAGCACATGGCATAACTTTAAGTACCATAGAATGAGAAATAACAAATGGTAAAGACAAACATTGTCCATATTTAATGCAATACAGGATTCCACAATGCATGTTTAGATTCTTCAAAGGTCAGGAAGTGAAAACCTCATCCCAACAAATTCCTACTACATCACCACAATAGCCAATAAATAAATAGAGGGATAAAATTATAAATTTTCATAGTATATGTGCAAATGCATACACCCCTTCAACTCTACGCTCTCCCCCATAACCAACCCAGGTAACAGGCTCCAAACCCCTACGACCTATCGCTAAAATACATGTCCCCACAATTTATAGCCCGCAAGGCAAAAGCAAGTGGCTAATTGATTGACTTGCACTTAGTACAAGTAAATGCTGAAGACCAAGGGAACCCCTTTTAGGAGGTTATGAAAAGTCAAAATTTTCTCCCATATTGCTTCCCAAATCTACAACTAGATTATCATGCCTGCCCCTAACTCAATTAACAAGTATCAGACTGCAGTATTTTAATTCATCAATTCATGACAGCGTACAGAAATCATATATTATTTCAGCAAAATCTGATGCTGCCACTGAACAATTCATTACAGAAGTTGTACACACCTCAGGAGCCATCCAGAATGCAGTCCCCTTGCAAGATTTAACATCATTAAATTTTGTTGCCTGAAAAAGTAAACGGCATATAATATTAGAAAAGAAATTTGCAGCTGTTATAGACACCTCTAGGAAACAAGATACAAGATTAAAATACGAGGAAGAGAATAAAACCTTTGCCAAACCAAAATCTGCAAGTTTCACAGAGCCATTTGCATCCACCAATAAATTTGCACATTTTATATCCCTAAAATACAAAAACAAAATATATATATATTGAAAGCTGTCACCTGATGAAGCAAGCCCATGCATGAAAGCAAAAACAGGGAAAGAAATAAATTGGAAAAAAATCCCAAGCCCAATGATCATAAACATCTTTCAAGTAAAGAAAGATATTCTGCAGTGTTAGCATTTATATTAGCTTAGCAATTTGGTTACCAATATAGCATCAGCATAGTTTTTTTCTTTGATAAGAAATTTAAACCCATCACCTGTCTCTCCTAAATTCATGCATCTTCCTCAAGTTTAGGTTTGAAAAGGGAAAAGACCTAAAAACAGTTATTTGAAATGGACAATTTTAGGAAGGTGCAGCATCAAGCAAGAAGCCAACCACCCCTAAGCCTAGCAATTGAGACAAGGTCCCAGCAACCTTAACAGTCTTGAATGGTCTTGAAAGTTAATTCAGCATTACAAAGATGAGGTCCTAAAAGGTGATGAACTAGAACTGACAAGCAGCATTCAGCATCTCATGATATAGAAGTGGTCAGAAAGAATTCAGTACACCAGAGTGAAAAACCAAAACTTGGGCCATAGAAAGCTACACTTCATTGGGTAAGGAAAGCTAATGATGATTCTTGGAGTTTGCATAATATTCATAAAAGCAATGATTGTCATAAAAGAATAATGAAGTAAACATAATACTAGAAGCATCACCATAAAAGGAAAATAAATCTAGAGAGATCATAAGAACTAGAAAAATCACAAAAAAATTCATAATGCAATGGCATAACAATTTATTCATTTCACCTGTGGACCACATTCTGATCATGAAGATACTTCAAACCATGCAAAATCTGTCTTGTGTATGCAGAAACTTGGGAATCTCGAAGATTATATCTCTGATAGAGTTTTAGAAGGGAGCCCTTAGTTACAAGTTCGAGAAAGATATATAGTTTTGATTCATCCTGCAAAAATCAATGCAAGGATTAACATGGATGATCAAATTTCTGCAGAAAAGGAAATAAGAATACCTTAGTCAAAATAAGCAGAGTACGAAAAACAGTCATGAAACATACACAAGATGCCCCTAGGAAAGTGAATTCATGATATCTGGCAAACTTGCCAAATCACATTATATCTGTTAATCTACTATTCTCAATTCAGCTCAATTTTAACCACTTGGAGTTGGCAGCATGTAGTTATGTACCCTTTTCCACTGTTCAGTTGAGCCCAGAGCTAATTACATTTCAATTCTACTAAAAGAAAGAACTTTTCTAAAGAGCATACACTTCATAAAAAATAGAAAATGATTAAGAAACAGAATTATATCTTGGGTTCCATCAGTTCTATTCATAATTGATGTAGATCAAAGAATCAAATCTAGAACCCAACAAAAAGCAAGAAAACAGTACCTTATCTGTGCCATAATATTGAACTATGTTTTCATGTTCAAACCGACTTAAAAGAGCAATCTCCTGAAAACGACAGTGAAAGTAAATGATCAGGAAAATGAAAACAAAGCTGTTGGTAAAAGATCAAATCCAGTTATATACCTCAAGATAAATTATTTTTTGTTAGCAAAGGGTAGAGAATATTGACACACCATAAAATAAGATAAAGATTATCTCACCTGCTCAAGTTGAAAAATACTTTGTTTTCCCTGACTTCCCTGATCAAGCAGTGAAACCTCTTTGACAGCAAAAAAGAATCCATCGCTGAAGGAGATAAACAACGAACAAAGCACAGTTTAATGAAATCATTTCTTTTGATAAGCAACGGCACAAAACATAGCATGAGTTTTTTCAGAAATTCGCCCTTCCTAACCAAAAACTTGATATTTGATCATCAAACATCAATGGAATTGCAACGGAAAACGAGAACAGTTTTCCTCGTCAATTGCCAATAACCTAAAAATAAGCTAAGATTCTCTAATAACTCAATAAGAGTTTTGGAAACTAGCGATTCTAAATACCCCAGATCATAATTAAAAATACGTATCATAAAAAACAATGATACAAACTATTTAAAACTTACTCAGAGATTCCTTCATAAACCGATCCAAATGACCCACGTCCGAGAAGCTCACCCTTTTCCCAATAGGTAATAGCCCTTCTAAATCTCCCATTAGGGGAAATATTCGACATGGGTTCGGTTGTACTACTTGACGAATCATCATCATTGGACGTGGTAAATGAACACGACTCTGATAAAACCGCAGTTTCACCTATCCTCAACAAATTTTCTTCTTCTTCTTCTCTCTTGTTATCCACAGCTGCATCAATTACTTGCGCTCTTCTTTCTTGTCCTTCATCATCATCACCAGAACTGAATTCTTTGTTATTATTAACCACTCTATCATTTTCAGGTGCAAAATCCCTTAATAAATCCCAAGTTGAACACTCTTTATCAATCACCGGTAATGTCATCGACGGCGGAGGCTTCAGTAACGACGGCGGCTTCAGTAACGGCGGCCTAGGCCCTTTAATTCCAACTGACACACCACGATTATCAATATCATGACAAGTGTTCAACTCAGTTGAAGAATCCCTAACTCTAACACTCTTCAAAACCCCAGCACACAATTCCCTCTCCTCTTGCTGATTGGTCACTTCAACTATCGCTTTAAATTCTTCAGCTGCTTTCGGACTATCCGACCCCAAAATTCCGGACCGCCGCAAAAGATCGGAAGCGGACCGGGCCTTCATAGCTTCCCAAGCAGCCGCCGGAATCGCGAAATCCTCGGGGCCAGAGAGGCCTAAGCTGCGACAAATGCGGTCTAACTCACCTTCGGTTCCTTCGATTCGAAAACTGGTCCGATCCGGCAAATCAAGCGATCGAGTAAATAAAGACGACGATGACGAGTCGTCTAGAGATGAAAACGAAGGCGTTGCATCGTAGTCAATGTGCTTCAACGCATTACGTCTCTCCAGCCTTGGCCTCCTTCGATTTTTCGGATCCATCGAGCTGGTTTTCTTCTTACGAGTGAGAAATGGAGGTAAGTGATGCATTGAGAACAAAATCCATCTAAAA